CTGTCAATAAACAAAGAATTATTGTTGATTAGTAAATACAGGATGCAATATTAATAAAATCATTTACAATGTAATGAATTAAATAGTGGATATTTACCTGACGATGACTGTGAGAGGACAGGGAGGGGCACAGGGATTGGGACATTGTTAAACATCACAAAAACTTTCAAGTTATTAGATTATATACTAGTCTTTTAGCATTCATCATATTACATCTGGGTGTGCTTGTATCGTTCTTTTTATAACACACAAGAAAAGTTTACAGTGAAGTTAAAAAATTGTTACAAAAAATACGAAGAACCCCTGCAAAGGAATTTCCGCCAAATTCTGCATAGCTCTCTCTTAAAGAACGATCCAGCGAATGAATTGTTCAAAATCATCGATCGCCTGAAATTTTTCTTCATTGATGACCAAATGCGAGCTTTGAAGTTTTCATACCTGTTCAAACTGGGATTATTTAGATCTACTTGTTGTGAGACACGTTTTAAACATTCTTCTGCTGTCTGGCACAGGTGATGATTCACTGGGTAATGCTTGGCATAGATTTCAAGGGCTTGATGATAATTATAAGCTGCCTCACGAAGCTCGCTGCATCGTTCAAATACCATTCCAAGATTCAATATCGAGTCACCCAGTTCAGAATGATCACTTTCCAATTTCTCCATCCGAATGTTCCTAGCTTGGAAGTGACAATTTTTGGATTCCTGAAATTTTTCAAGATCCATGTACACCTGTCCTAGATTACTCAGTACTTCTGCTATTGTGGGATGTTCTTGATCTAACACCCTTTCTCTGATAGATAATGTAGATTTGAAGCAATTCATTGATTTCAGGTTGATTAGCACCCCTTTGCATCAGTCCAAGGTTGTTGTAGGATCCAAAGATCACAAGGTGGTTGGGCTGGTATAGTTTCTTCCTCATTTCCAACGCTTCCTCAAGATATTGATGTGGGTCTCTGGTTTCATCTTGTTCGCAATGTAAAGCCAAAGCCAAAGCGTTTTTTGGCTTAGGCAAGTGATCTTTGGTATAATCCTTTGCAATCTGGTGCTCACCTTGTCACCCAATACGCTGTAGATGGATCCCAGATTGTTAAGGGAGGAAGCAACAGCAGCATCCTCTTCACCACACAACTCTTCCCTCATTTTTAGCGACCTGATGAAGTAATCTTTCGCGTCATCAAAGTGGCTTAGTCTATAGAATACATTTCCCAGTTTTTTAAAAGAGTCCGCAACTTCTCGACTCGACTTTTGGCCCTGATTCAGGTTGTAACCAAGATGATTCGGTGCAAGCTCATGGTGTTCTTTAGCCTCTTCAAACATTTCTTGCTTCAAGAAGACGACACCTATATTGTTTAGAATCTTGGAAATAAAAGCTTTTTCGTCGTCGTTCTCTTCTCCTTTACTGCAGGCGATTTTGAGGGCACATTCAAAGTATTTCATTCCTGCTGGTAGATAACCTTGTTTGCTGCTAATGTCATCTATGCTGAAAATCGCTTCTTTGGCTTCATTTATCCTTTCACGTCTTGTCATGAGCTGTACCCATTGTGAAGTCTCCAAGTGGCTTCTGAATACTCTTAACTGGGGGGCAATCATGTTTGAAAAGAGGTGAAACTGGAGGTCCAGTTCTACGAGGTTATGTCGGAAAAATAGAGATATTGTCCTGATGTATGACTGAACGATCTTAAAGACTTCATCTGAGGTGTTCGACCCGGTGCATTCTTACAAGAGCAGGATTATTTGCATCTGGAATAAGCAGACCGCATTTGGAAATTTCTGCTGCTGTGAGGAACTCGTCGATATCCGGTTCCATTTCCATCACATATTTGGCAATTACATCAAGTGCAATTGGTGCTTGCGAACACAAGGCTAGGAACTGGAACACACGCTCAAAAATGGAATTCTTGATAAGTTTTTGCAACGTCAATGAGACAGCTGAAGTCATTGACTGTGGACAGTTCATGTTCGTCTCTTCGTAGACCTTTTCTGTTGCCTTTCTCTTCCCATTGTCCAGTTGCTTGACATAGCTTTCCCAAGAGAAACTTGCAGAACCAATATGCGTTCCTACTCCGTCGTGCCAGAATCAAACATACAGTGCTGCTGAAGCAATGTCCAAAGGCTGGTAATCTAAGGCATCTAATACTGCATGTTCTTCTCCATCTGCATGTGAAAGCTGGGAGATACTCCTGAGAAGATTCACGGCATTTTTTACTTGCACTCCCTCGCTGAGGGAAATAATTTTTCATGAAGGGTCACCAAATGGGAGATAGATGCTCTCTTGCGTGGTAACTAGTAGTTGTCCACAACCTCCTCGCTCTTCTTTCTCTGACAAGAAGCAGCGTACGCTTTCACTTTCATCAGCGTTATCCAATATGAGCAACCAGGCGGAATACTCTCGTACTTTGAAAAATGCAAAGCTTTTCAGATGCGTAATTTTTTCTTTCTTCGTCAATTTGGAATCGCCTCTCACGATATTATTTAGAGAGTATTCTGTCATTTTAAGCTCAAGGAAAAATCTCTTATACGATTCAAGCAAAATTTCTTCGCTTTCAGCGTCCAATGTTATGACAAATGAGTTGCAATCAGGGTTCTCCTGCGCAAATTTTCCCCCAACTCGACGAGCAATCTGACTCTTTTCCACATTCTGGATTTCCGGTGACAAACACGGTTACAACAGAATCATCGTCACTTCCGTTTTGGAGGTCACAAAGCATCTGCATGATTTCTTTGACTTCACTACTCCTTTCAATGATCTCGTGCGATGGCTCGGGTGGAAGAACTACGAAGTTTTTGGGCTTACCCTGAATTTCATTTTCTAAGACGGCAATTTGCTCCTGGAGTGTTTGGAGCTCCCCTGTGGAAAAGTTCCGTTGATTGACTATTGTTTGCAGTTTCTTTGTGTCGAGATTTAGAGCTGTGAACGCATTTGTGACCTTCTGAACATTAGCCTTAAAGTATGATTCCAAAACACTTGGTTGGGAAAAATGTGCACAAAATCCTTTGCGGAATTCTCGCAAATCATTAACATTATTATGTACAGTAGGACTAACATGTAACAGAGGTCCACCGAGGTAATCGGAAAAGAGAATCGCATAGAAAAGTTATATACAATCCCTTATCACTGTCTCCATATCTAATGCTGTTCAAAAGCCTATAGTTTCTCCTCCGGCTTTTTCGCGATTCCATGTTGAAAAAGTTTATCTCATTACTGGGAGTGTCAAGCCATTGTCTATGCCTACTTCCGTACAATCTATTCCATTCTTGTTTAAAAACTGATTGCGGGCCATCCCGTACAGTTTTTGTAGTGATGTATCAAATACGGAAATAATTAAGCTCTTCCAAAGAGTACTGTTTGCTCGACATATCTCATGCTTATTTTGCTGCTGTTGGTCTGTAAAAAAAAACATGTTCTTAGAATATAATATTATATAAAGAATGTCGAGTTGAATTTTCATTTCAATGCATACGTTAGTAACATTCGAAGGTCATAAATGACAGTCACATGACACACGACACATGACTCTTATACTAATGTGTATGAAAACACTTATTGAACTGTCTTTAGAATGTATTTTAGGTCTATCCATTCCTTAAGTATTTATTAACAATTTAATGGCTTGTCGAAATGGAAATGAAGGGAAAAGAGAGAGCAAAATAACACGCGGATAATCCGTCACAAAGTCCGTGGCTGCCAAGAGAAACAGATCATTATCCTGAACAATAACTGCATATTTCCTCTTTTAAGATGAGTGGTTTTGAGAATGATGCCTTGTCTGAGAAAATTGTCGGAAGCGGCATAAAATCTGGCACATCCTATGTCCCGTGTTTGGGATTCCAATCACAACACTCAATATTTACACCTAATTTTACGTTTGTAGGTTCCGTGATGTAGTTCATCAGAGCATGGGATTGTAGCTGTATCAAATGGTTAATAGCACTTTCTTGTATTTGCATGAAGAGCAGATGCTCCGGCGAGCGAAACTTTTCATGTTGTTTCTTCTGTTTTGAAGAACATGGTGGAAAGAATCAGTAGAGATTTGGAAGCAGTACACAAAGAGATTTCTGATTCGATGGATAAAGCTTGCTTTGTTTGCTCGGATACTAACTTCCGCAATGCCTAAGATATTTTCAAGAACTGGCTTATTTAAAATATTGAAATCCACTATAGCACAGCTGGTTATGGGCAAGGAGATGTAAAGATTTCGGGAAATTAGCAGCCTAGTTAGTAAATATGCTTAGTTAAGGCGGGATCACCGTTGTACTGTGGTTGGTACATGTATCAACATGTAGTTGAGGCTATGGATCTCTCTCAGATAACTACACCTATATATTATCCCACTATCAGGTACGATTGACCGAGTTTGGTCCGCGTCAAAATTAATTAAACACTCACC